CAGTTAACAATGAAGTTAGAAAGAGTACTATTAGGGCTAAAAGTAGTGAATTTAGTTATAATGAGCCTATTCTGTTGAGTAACAAATTTCAGCATTTAATTAATTAATATGTACAAGGGGTTGATAACTTAATTTTGTCAGGGATACTGCCCAGAATTAACTGTGGGGATGAAGTTATAAAGTAGGTCACTAGGGCTAAATGCTAGGCTTATGGTAGTATGTAAGGATGAACAGATTGGCTCTTTGGACTTCTGGGATCAGTTCAGTGGAAGAAGGGACCTTTTTGGAATGGATGGTTTACATTTAAATAGAGTAGGGGCTGGCTTGTTTGCTAAGGCTATTAACTCAACTGTAAGGGAAGTTTTAAACTAGGACTAGACAGTGGTGAGAGCCAGGATAAATTAATGCAAAAAATAATATGAGGCAGAGAAAAGTTTAGCATAGGAATTGGGTGTAGAAGTAGTTCTAAGGGTAGGCTTAATTGTTACTATTGTAATGCTAGAAGTTTAAGAAATAAGATACATGACGTTAGAGAACTGGTAGGAATGGAGGATTTTGATATAATGGGAACAACTGAAACATGGTTACACGTATTAAAGAGGGTGGGAGGAGTGGCTTTATATGTAAACTGTGAGTTACATCCTGTTGAAGTTGAGGATATCAAAGATAATAGCAAAGAGATTGAATCCATTTAGGTTTCTATTAGCGGATATAAAGTGAAAAGGTTTTTAGTGGGAAATTGTGACAGACCACCAAACGATACTGATAAAATTAGTGAGAAACTTTACAGTGAGATTAAGATTTCAGCTGTTAATGAAGTCATAATTATGGGTCATTTTAATTTCAGTCAAACCATGAGGGAAAAAGGTTTTTGGAAACTCTTCACCAGTTAGTCAAGGAACCAACCAGAAACAATGCTATTTTAGATTTATTGTTAACTTCAAACATATAAATGATTGAGAAGGTGGAAACTGGGGAACATCTGGGTGCAAGTGATCATTGCTGTATTAGGTTCAATGTTTTGCTGCATATGGAGATCAGGAATAATGATATTTTGGTTACAAATTTCAAAAAAGCAAATTTTTAAGGGATGCAACAAGAATTATCTGTTGTGAATTGGGCAGCTGAATTATTTGGAGACACTGATAAGATGTGGAACATTTTTAAATATTCAATGTAAACATATTCCTAATTAAAAGAAAAGGGTAGCTACAAGTAAAAAACCAGGTTGGCTCACAAAGAGTTTAAGAAATAAAATTAAAGAAAAGCGTAATAAATGTAAGAACTTGAAATTGGCGGGAGATTATAGAAGATCAAGAAAGTTGGTGAAACAAGAAATTAGGACATCAAAAAGGATATATGAGAAAAGGTTGGCTGAAGATGTAAAAATTAACAGTAAGGATTTCTTTATATAAATTAAGGGTAAACAAAATGTTAGGATAGGGATAGGACCCTTGAGGGATGATGATGGAATGCTTGTATCTGATGATTATGAGATGGCTGGGTTATTAAATTTTATTTTTCTTTGGTTTTTACTAAGGAAGACTTAAGCAGTATTCCACATCTTAAACAGTTGATAAATGGGAATACATTACTGCATTAATTCTGAGCTGGTTAAGAAAAAAATTGGGAAGTTTAGAAAATGATAAGGCTTCTGGGCCAGATAATATTTCCCCAAGGATTTTGAAGGAGGTTAAAGATTGGATATGTGAGCCACTTGCTACTATTTTTTGTCAGTCCTTGAATAGGGGGCAGGTACCAGAAGATTGGAAGTTAGCTAATGTAACACCTCTTTGAAGGGAGGTGATAAAATTGTCCTAATAATTATAGACCC